CAAAAGCTGCACCGTCATCATCAGATGCACCATGCACTTCCTCAGCCCCGAACAGGGGCAAATCGCATGTCACGAATCTCGGAGCAGTCTGGGACGTAAGTTTATTGGCTATTGCCGCAGGAATAAGATGAAACAAATTCAAATTGTCATCTATTATTGTAGGTTCCGACGGTCGCTTTCATGCCGACGCATCATCGCGATTGATTGGTCTCATGTCTCCACCTCGCGACGCTTAACGCCACCGTAGCTGTGACTCCCACTGGCGGATCATCGGCTCGTACAGCGAGCGTCCAGGACAGGATCCTGGAAAACTCTTGTGGATCACTCTAGCCAGCAGCCGCGAGCCGATCGTGGGTTGGTCTGATCCGATTTCTGCAATCTCGGAACACCACGTCCAGGGCAAAGCGGTATGCTTGCTGTAGAGAGGGGAGCGCATTATAGCTGCACAGCTGACGACGACGGACCATGGCACCCTGCAACATTATTACGGCTTGCGGAATAGCTGCCGATAACTTGTCTACAGTGACTGAAGAGAACTTGACGTTGACGCGCCGCTCATGACTATCCATTACAGCAGAAACGTGAGAGGCTCTGGACAGACTGAGTAAAGGCGCAAAAGGTATAAGAGGGCAGCCTTCGAGGCCAAGCAATCTCACATCATTCCTCATCTCGCTCTCTCGCTCTCGACCTTGCACAGTAGTACAGCTCCGCTTCCGACTCTTGCCTCCTCATACCATTCGCTCCGCTCAAACTCCAAATACAACGTTCAAGCTCATCACAATGATTGCCCGCATCTCTTCCCTCGCTCTTGCTGCCAGCGTCTTCGCTGCGACCTCTTCCCTCGTCTCTGCTCAACCCTTCGAGCGCCGAGCCGGCTTCTCCTGCGAGAAGCCCGGCGCACCTGTCTGGCTCTCCGAGGGAGACGCCAGCTACGGTAGCGGAGGGCTCCTGCTCGGAACATTCGGCAACCCCGATGATTCCCACGCCAGCTCTCCAGCAGTGATCGGTATCGACGGGAGAACCGGACCCGTCACACCTTTCCAAGTGCAAGTCACGAGGTGCACCTTCGACGGCATTCGCGCGTCGCTGAAGGAGGGTGGCACCCAACCCTCCGGAGTGCCCAACGACCACGCAGTCAAGCTGCAAGTCGTCGGTCGTAAGAACAAGTGCGTTGCACTTGCCGACCTGACCAAGGCAAACACACGTTTGCAGGAAGTCGACTGCAGCTCGGTCAACACCGCTGCGAGCCAGGAGCCCCAATTCTTCGTGCAGCACTACAAGTACGGAAACCTCAGGCCTTATGGAACTGGAAACAAGAGCTACAGCTTTTACATCGAGGACTCTCCCACTGGAGCCATCATTGCCAATCCTGAAGGCTGCTTCGACGGTCAGACCTGCCAGACCGACAACGCGGTCTCTCTCCTGTGAAGTGGCCGAAAAGCAGTCCAGGCAGACAAGGCTCCACGAACCAAATACCGACAGGCCAGAGGACACAGCTAGCTCGCTCGCGCGCTCATCTCTGCTCTTGTAAAGCCTTTGCGCATCCTCCCCTGATCGCTTGAACAATAGCCCCCTTGCACATTTACCATATCCGCAATTTCCTCTGAGATGCCCGGAATCCAATAGTCATCGGTCACTGCTGTCCGCTTGTCTGCGCGTAGCCCCTTGTTGAGTCTGCCTGCGCTGCGCTCGCGCCCCTCACTGTGTGATCATGCTGCCAAACAGCACATTGACCCGCGCGAGAGGGGGCATGTGTGCATCGAGACGGCATTTGCACTTTGTCGAGGACAAAGTACTGCAGTCTGCTGTTGCGTCGTTGCGCAACTGAAGCGAGGCCATCCCGCCCACACTCTCCTTCAGTGTGCGTTCAAGCGGGCATCTACCTACCAGAAGGTTTCGCATTCCAGCTTCGGAGGTGATCAAATCCTGGAAAGATCTGTGCGACAAGAAAGGCGTGTGATTGCTTGGGGGTGAGGTACGTAGGCTTGAAAAGAGGGGGGTACGCTCAATCAAGAGCAGCCTCTACTTCCTGTCGACCTTGACCGTGTCCCATGCAGCGCGCTCTTCCTCTGCCTTCTTGACCTGGTCTACGATTGGCTGCAGGTAGCGGACATCCTAATGTGGGAGCAATGAGGACATATTTAGCACCAGCCTCGTTTTGTATTGGCACTCTGGACGCGAAAAGGCCATGCGCTCACCTCTTCTGGCTTGATCCAGTGCTCCTTGCTAGCATCGCGGTGAAGCACACTGTATTGAGAAGCTGCTCGCAAACGGGCAGCGCGGTCGTATTGCTCGCGGGGCGACAAGCGCTTGAGAGCCTGGCAAGGGCACAAAACAAGTGTCAGCAAAGGTGTCCATTGTTCCCTGCAGTCACGTGTCGGGGAGCCATTGTCGGAGGCGCGGTTCGGGCAACTTCTTCTTCATATGTTCTTCCTCCATCGCGAGGCTCAATGAAGCTTAGACCACGCAGTCGAAGCGCCAAGCGCACGCAGGCGCGTTGTCCAGCATCAACATCCTCGACATCCCCTTGCTAGCCTGTCATCATTGTCACCACGCAAATCCCCCACCTGTGGGCTCCTCGCACTCTGCTTGCTGCCCTCGACACCTGCCGTCTCTCGACACGTGTCCTACTTTCCCTCCGCTTCGACCGCGAGCCTGCCGCCAACGTAAAGAGAGGCGCACCTTTTGTACGTCGTCATTCTCCTCGATCAGAAGGTCGTCGTACTTGAGACCGAGTTGACGAAAGCCAGAAGACTGTGCGTAAGCCTTGGCAAGAGGTGTCAGAGCTCGCAAGAGCACTGGCGACCTCTTGACAAAGTTGATGAGCGAGATTCCATCCTGTTACGAGAAAAAGATCACCAAGGATCTGGAATTAGCGAAGTTGCACCACCATGTACGCAATGCAGCATGTCAGGTGAGCCTATGCGAGCGGAGTACTCACGAGGAACGTCATTTTGACCCGACTTAGAGCAGAAAGAAGGGATTCGGTGGTTTGATCGTGGTCGTAGTTGTTGCTGGTGCCTGAGTGACTGCTCTGACAAGAATAGCCTTGACTGCTGCTGATGTGCGGTCGCGCCTGCAGCAGCTCTCGCAGCAAATCAGAATCCAAACCCGCGCCCTGTGAGTGGCCAGTCGTCGCGCGCGCGCGCGGCACCGACCCGGGCGCACCGAGAGATGCAGGATTATTCTCGAAGTTCCAAAATCACGTGGCTAAGATATTGCTCGATAGCCTCCATGCATACGTTCACGAGGTTCACGAGGGCAGAGTAACGAGTCGTGAGGCTTGAGTTAAGAGCCACAAGTGATAATCCACTTGATCGGTACCTCGGATGCCGCTTCAGAATTGAATCTTCATGAAACACATACAACGCCTTCATGATTTCGATCTTACCTAAAAGCTCTTGACTCGCTCGAGGCATCACCGCACGACATTGCTCGAAAGGTTGCAGCTTGTCCACTCACTTCAGAGAGGGCGGCCAGGCGCAACTCACACGGAACCTGTCAAGCTGCAGCAATCTCCAGCAAGAGTCAACATCTTTACCTCGGCGCTGAGCCAGTCACTGCGCCGCTTTGTAGCAGGCAGCAGTGGCACTGGACTGCATATCGTGAGCAGGAGCCGGGCCAAGAACACAGTAGCCAGCAATATGCCCGTCTCGGACGACGGCAGCAGCCGCCCAAGCAGCGCATTGGGTGGAGCTGGAGGGTCGCTTGGCCAAGCAGTTGCGGAGGCGTCCACCCCAGAGACGCCTATTCCACTATTGGACGACTTTCCTCCGACAGGCACACCCGACCACACCAAACTTGGCGGATGGGATCTGTGGAAATCGATGGGATCGCCAAAGAGAGTGGTAGCGCCCATGGTCGACCAGTCCGAACTCGCTTGGCGCGTCCTTTCCAGGCGGCACGGTTCTGATTTGGTGTACACGCCCATGATCAACGCGCGATCTTGGGTCGATGCTGCCCGAGCTTCAGCGGCAAAAAGCTACAAGGAGGCCAACTTCAACAGGCTGCTGGGAGAGGAGGGCTCGAATGCGGTGAAGAGCACAGCAGCGGAAGTCAAAGTCGACACTGACAGACCTCTGATCGTACAGGTGAGCGTGGCGTCCAATCTGGTTGCCACCATCGCAGGAAACTGACACTTCACGTACCGCCTGCGTTCCAGTTCTGCGCAAACGACGCTGATGCGTTATTGAGCGCTGCAAAGGACGTCGAGGCGCACTGCGATGCTGTGGATCTCAATCTGGGCTGCCCTCAGGGCATTGCTCGGAAGGGACACTATGGCGCCTTTTTGCAAGAAGACTGGCCACTCATCTTCAGACTCATCAACAATCTCCACCTCCGCTTGCGCGTAGCAGTCACTGCCAAGATGCGAGTGTATCCCAATGTTGAAAGGACCATCGCATATGCCAGAATGCTGGAGAGAGCGGGCGCGCAAATCATTACCGTGCACGGCCGAACTAGAGATATGAAGGGACAAAAGACTGGCCTCGCCGATTGGAACAAAATTCGTGCGGTCAAGGAGGCTGTCGGTGTACCAGTCATTGCCAACGGAAATGTGCTGTTCCCTGCGGATGTCGAGGAAGCGCTGCGAGTGACGGGCGCAGACGCCGTCATGTCCGCGGAGGGCAACCTGTACACGCCGACCATCTTTGCCGACGCGCCCAGCTCTCCCTCGGCTCTGTATCCTCTTGCACCTAGACTGCCATTTCCCGACATCATAGTATTGGCACGAGAGTATCTGGACATCGTAGCAACACTCAAAACCCCAACTGCAGTCTCTGCCATTCGGTCACACCTCTTTCGACTGTGTCGCCCAGCCTTGGAAGTGCATCGCGACATGCGAGCGGATCTTGGGCGATCTCGGCCGAGCGGTAAAGATCACAAAGCGACTGGCGAGGCGAGAGTGGACGGATTCCGCGCCTTTGTGGATGCCTTAGAAGAAAGACTCTCGGTGAGTGTGCTGCGTTCGTGCCCGACCAGAAACCTGCGTGCCTGACACCTAACAATCACACTTGCAGCCCGACCGGACGAATCCGAAATATCTGGAAGCGCCGGCGATACCCCGATACGGCTCGACGCCGTTGAGGCCAGAGGGAGCGTCAGCACTGGCTGAGGGAACAACGGACGAAGCTCGACCGACATACGTTCCTCATTGGCTGGCGCAACCATACTTTCGGCCCGAAAATCCTATAGCCGAAGAGCTGACACCGGAACAGAAAGCAGCAAATGCAGCAGCAAGAGCCGTGCGGAAGGCGGAGGCAATGGCCAAGGATGCTAAGAGGCTTGGCAGGTCGCATGAGGGCAGTGCAGCCGCATCAACCTCGTCGGTGGCAACCGCCGACAGCGCTGCGACACAGGATAGGCCGGTAAAGACGAGAGACATTCAAGCTGCGGGAGAGGCTGCTGCCGGTGGCTCTTCTGGGATCATCGGAAGCGTCATGGATTCTATGCATGGCATACGCGAGGGACCATCATCAAAACGAGCAGGCGAGGCGGAAGGCGGAGTGCTGGCTGCCGGCGAAGATGGTGCTCCTCTCTCCAAAAAGCTCCGTGTGGGTTGACTTGGCTGTCTACAAGTCCGTGCTTCTATCTGGGCGGTGCCAAATCCAGGACCTTTCCCATGCATTGTATCCTACCGATCATCCTAGACTCGCTGCTGAGCGCAACACGCAATCTGACATTTTGTTCTGCTTTCGCGCTTGCCTCGAAATCGCTCCGCAGGCTGCACTCGAACAGGCTTCGACACTCAAGGCGCAAGCTAATGACAGCTTCGCAAAAGCGAGATACGATGAAGCCGCTGGCCTTTACAATGATGCCTTGATTACTTTGCCAGTCCGACCCGAGCCCGAACCTGCATCGGACGAGGAAAGCGGGTCAGATCAAGTCGACGATTCAATTGGACCGGCGTCTGGAACATCACATCGGCACACTCCTGCTCAACACGTATCAAGCTCAGGCTCAGGAAGCAAGGGCAAGGGCAATGCCGAGAATAGTCGATTCGTAGAGCTCCGGGAAGATGAGGATCCAGAAGAAGCACTCTTGATGCACGAGTGCGCTAAAACCCGGGCGGTCATCTACGCGAATCTCGCCGCGTGTCATCTGAAGCTGGAAGACAATGCTGGCGCTGTGAAGGCATGCAACGAAGGTGAGCGGCCGCTTCGCTGCCAAGTGCATGCGGGAGGTCGAGCGCTCATGTGTCCCTCTTTTCAAAGGACAGCTTTGCTCGACGATCCCGCGTACATCAAGGCCCTCCATCGACGTGCTCAGGCAAATGAAACCATCGGCAACTGGTCTTCCCTCAGCTCTGCTTTGGATGGTGAGAGACCTACAGCTCGCTTAAGTTGCGCGTACACGCAAGACAAGCCCGCTGAAGCTGAGAGCGGACTCGTCAATATGCCAGATTACAAGACTCTTTCGCAGATGCGCGAGACGCCCGCTTCTTTGCGCGCGACGCTGCGCACAAAGCTGCAAACGCTTCCGCCGCGAATTGAGGAAGTGGGCAAGAAGGAAAAGGAGGAGATGATGCGAAAGCTAAAGGGTGTAGGTGATAGCGTGCTCGGTAAGTCGCTCCTCGGAAAAGAGTTGCAAAGCTTCAGACGCCGCAAGCTTGCACAGACTTACGCTTCTCCAACATCCTCATGCGGTCTCCCGCCAGGCTGGTTTGGGCTTTCGACGGACAATTTCAAAATCACGCAACAAGAGGGCGGTGGATCTAGTATACAGTTCGTGCCTAATCAAGGCACTAAGAAATGATTACTTCCTTGGCATAGGAGCCGCCATTATGCTTACGAGAGGCTTTATTCGACGTTGATGCGGCACTTGCGATTTGAGAGGTGGTACAAGTTGACGCTGGAGACGAAGAGAGACGCCAGCGCCCTCTTGATGCTGACACGACCGATCCTTCAGAGACAAGAGATCTAGAAACAGGATTGGGTCTTGGCTGTGATGCCAATAGACAATTCGGCAGGCGTTTGCGCAAGAGCTGGGGCGCTCTGTCAGACCGCGTTGCGGGACGAGTTGCTGGCGTTTCGCTGCGCTTCATCCTTCACAGGCAGTCTGTCTCGTCGAACAGGATGCGCTTCGGTAGCACCCTCCGCTCGCATTAGACCCTTGGCTTCTCTTCGCTTAGCGTCTTCTCTTTCAAACCACTCCAAAGCCTCGTTCCTTTCCAAACCCCATCTTCCGCCTCGCTCCGTAGGATGAGCCTCGCCATAGGCAAACGGGTTAAAGTCTTGGCTCTCGATGGACGCCAGGGTGTGGTTGATGAAGCGATGGTTGGCTTCGTCAGCTCGCAGAGCGCGCATGACGTCCGAGAGTGTGGCGCTGCTCTTCAAGCCCCAATAGTCTTTGGCCACAGCTGGTGCCGGGAATCGCTCCCACTCTGGCAGTCGACCCGCGTCAATGTCTCGAAGGATGTTGGTGTAGGTAATGACGGCTTCTTCCTCCAAGACGCCGACGAAGCGATGGGCCAATCGAGGGGCGATCATGTAGCCTACGGAGAATGCAGCAGTGAAGACGACCTGTGCAAGGGCGATCATGGTTCGCATGAAGAAGCCGGGGCGGTATAGCTTGAGCGCGACGAGCAGGTGCATCCGTTCATTCTGAGCGTCCTCCAATAGCGTCTGGATCCAACCCTTGTCCCTGCGCATCAGGCGCAGGCTCTGCAGATGCCTGATCATGGCTGCGCTGAACCCAGGAACCCCGGCGATGGTTTCGAGGAACACGATGCGGATGAGCCACTGCTCGGGTCCAAAGCAAATGCCGCGCTTGCGCATTTCCCCCAACTCCATCACCTCTGGCAGGCTTTCGGCTGCGGGCGCGTGATCTTTGCGGCGAGGCTTGACCGCTGCTCGTTCATCGTCCAAGGAAGGGGTCGAGACTTGTCTCCCCTCAGCTCCCATCACCTTTGGGAACTTCTCCCGATGCTTTGGATACCGTGTGGCAACATCAAATCCGGTCCTGAAAAGCGGGGAGCGGAGAGATGACGTGTCAGCGAAGAAGTTCATCGCGGCTACGTGGAGGAAGACGAAGCGCGCACCTCACTACTCGCACCAGAAATGCGGCTGAAGGCCAGTTGGGGAATTTCGATGTTAATCAGTAAGCAAGCGCGTAGCCTCTTGGACAAAGCATGAGGACTCACCGATGTGATCCGATGCTCCTTTGAGCTCTTTGTGTACGACGCGCACAGCATCCAGCTCTGCGGGTGTGTGTACACGGTAAGATCGGTCGGCGAGATGCAGGCACAAGGAGGTCATTGAGGATCACTCACCTTCGTCGGTGTACGCATTGTGAGGTGTCCATCCGGGCTCGCTAAGATCTTTGGCAGCTTCTGAAGGAGGCACGAGGTGAGGGCTATCCTTTGGATCTGTGCGAGAAGCACTGCTGCCGCCGACCGAGACGGAGCTGTTGGGAGGATGAGAGGTGAAGAAGTGTCTCATCTGATCCTCCTTGCTGAGCCGCGGGTGCGGGTAAGAGCTCAACGATGTGGCGCTGAGCTGACCACGTGACAAGCTGCCCATGTTGCGAGATGATGCGCCCATGAGGCCACTCTGATGGGCTGCACATCTACTAGCAAGGGCGATGGCGGGACCCACGCGTGCTGCGCTCGTCGAAGCCACACAGGCCAAGTGTAGGCTAGAGCCTGCCATAGCATGCATCCCGGCAGAGAGCATGGGGTAGGACAGGGACACGTGATTTCAAGGCGAGATAGGAGGATGGATTGTTGTAGAACTGATGAAATCTGGGAAAGGTGTTGACTGGTGAAGTAGGTCGACGATGGATGATGCGGCAGGAGGATGGAGGGAGGATAGGTACGTATAGGCTCGCCTTTATATACACACTTTGTGGCTGTGCGCATTCCCGATTCATGCACACGCGCGCCCTTCTCCACAGCAGCGAGGCAGACGTAGTAGTTTGAGTGTGTTGCGACGACGTGCATGAAAGAGATGCGCGAGCCACAGAGAAAGCCGTGGGTGAATCAATCACAGGCACAAATGAACCTCAGCGAGCGTCTGTGCTGGATACCGTCACTATAGTCGACCGGGGCATTCCGAGACTTT